ACACGCTCCTCCCCATTCCGGTTGAGAGGCCCGAGTGGGCGGCATTGATTACTTCCCTTGGGAAGGATATACCGCCCCTCACCCCTGCCTAAGTTAGCCTTCTTGACTTAAGTTCTAGCCGTTATAAGCTCACTCCTCTCGGCTACACTGCTGTGCTAGACTTGTATACAGGCTGGCTTACTCCTCTCAGCTACCTTGCTGTCTGATCTAGACTTGAGAGCTAGAGATGCTTGCCTGTTTCGTGTACTGAAGGGTCCGCTGCTGAAGGTGGTATTCACTGTCTGTTCCTTAAACCGCAGGCCCTCTCCTCTTATCTTACCACCACCACCACCTGCAGATCAGAGTGCACCGTCAGTTCCATACCACTGCAGGTCTACCATTGCTAACTGATGGGGCGGAAAGGGATCCGGAAACTCGGTGGCTGGTCGCAGAGGAAACTCCTGGCCTACTACTGTCCAGTCTTTGAAGCAGATACTGTAGTCCCTTCTAAACCCTCCCTGGTGGTCCCCCTGGGTAGGTCGGCCTTCCCATCGTACGGAGGCAATCCAGCCCCCGTTTTCGCTGCCCAACCAGTCTCTTGAGAATTGCTGCATCAATGGTGTTATGTCCTTGGCTGAGTGAAACAGATCCAATTGGTTCTTTATTCTTTGCCACTGTACCATTAATTCCTGTTGGACATATTGTTTTATCATGTCTGTTACCTCTCCTTCCGCCATACGGGCGCCCTCTATAGCGTACGTGCATCGTTTCCTCCAGAGGGCCCACATGACAGCTCGCCTTCCTATTTTAAACATGGTGTTTTTGAAAGGGCTATCCGTGGGGGAGGACCAGGTTTTGCACAGCAGGGCTCTCCAGTCCCAAGGCCATTTTGACCGAGTGTCTAGACGGGACCAGATTCTATCCCACCATCGCCATGTGAGGACAGCACCCGGACATTGCATGAATATGTGCTCAATCGTTTTCGGGATTCTGCGGGAGGGGAAGACGGTGTGGCACACTTTGCGCCACGGCAATGCCTGTCCTCTCTGCTCCAGACGGGTCCGATCGATCAACCAGTCATTAGTGGGTAGGCAACGATGTTCTATCTGCCACTGCAACGAGGCCATCTATGCTGGCCTGGCTCTGGTGGCAGCGAACCTCGGCTCCTACATTTAGTTGTGATCTCCATCTCTCTTTTACCTTTTCCTTTATGTTCACTTTGGGGCGCAGCAGGCGGTACGCTGCCTTCACAGTCAGGTTTTGTAGCTTTGTCTTCTCCCGGACTCTGCTTGGCCGTGACTGTGACCACTGCCATTCGTCGGGGTCAAGGGGGAGGTCAACCAATGAGGTCTTTGGCTGGTATGCAGTCCATACCTCCTTATCCCGTAGCACCCGGATTCTTTGTAAATCCTTGCTTTTTCCCCATCTCACTACATCCGGAGAGTATCGGGTAAGGACGTTATCTTTGCCTATGTGATACAGATTCATCAGCGTTTCATCCGACCGCACCTCCACCACATTACCCACACTTTCTGGGTCGTCTGGTACAGTTACCCAGTCCCCTTCTTCCAGTCGTGGTCCTTTGCGCAGAATGCGCACCCAGTCCAGGGGAATCCCGAATATCAAGGTCTCAAGAATGCGCACTGCCTCGAGTTCTCCTTGGCACAGTAAAAAAACGGTCTTCTAGCCAGGTCAACGGGTGAGTATTTTTTGGGTCTTGTGGGGCAAGTCTGGCCATTTGTTCTAGTGCCAGGGCGCGCCATGGAAGCTGTTGTTCCAAAAGCAGCCTCTTCACCAATTGCATCATTAATGTCGTGACCTGAGTTTCCAGGTCAAGAATCCCCAGCCCCCCTTTAGTTTTAGGTTGGATCACCGAGGACCAAGCTACCCTACTGATAACATTCGCAAGCTCACCATTGCCTCGCCACAGTAGGGTTGCTACCTGACGCTTCAATGATCGGATGGTTGTCTTGTTGAGAGCCCAAATTGCAGATTTGTACCACAGGGCCGCCAGCACCACACTGTTGATCGCCAGCGCCCTACCAAATAGGGAGGTGTGTTGGTCTTTCGAGCTGGCCAACTTTTCTAAGGCGGTTTTCAATATCCACTCATCATTCAATGTCGGCTTGCCTAGGGTTGTTAGCATGATTCCAAGCACCCTAACCGGGGCCTCTTCGGGAAGCCATTTAACCCGTGGAAGTTCCAGGGGGCGCACCCCTTGGTGGTGGATCCACCAACCCACAGTTTTATTTCCCCAGTTGACCGTCATGTCTCAAATTTCCGTGAATCGGTCAAATAGTCTTTGGATCTCTTCCATGTTCGCTGTGGTGGCATCTACCATAATTGTGAGGTCATATGCGAACAGCGAACAGATGGGGATTGCGTCGTCTGGGATGGCCGAAATCTGCAGCTTCCGCAGGTTTTTATTAGCGCGAAGGTTCGCTGCCAGCGCCTCCATCACAATTATGAAAAGAAAGGGTGTCAGAGGGTCACCTTGTCAAACTGATCGTTGGAGCGAAAAGGCCGGCGCTACCCTGCCGTTGATCTGGACCCTCGTCGTAGCGTTATGGTGCAAAATTTCGGTCCAACGCCGAAATGCTGGTCCATATTCATTTTCTCCATGCATCAATCTAGAAATTGCCAATCGACATGATCGTAGGCTTTTTCAAAGTCGATGAAAACCACCGCTACATTCTGTTTATCTTGTCGTGTGAGTTTGAGGAGTTCATTGATTAACAGGACATTGTCATGGATCCTACGCTCTTTGACGAATCCTGTCTGTGTAGGGTGAATGGTGTCGTCCAAAACTGGAATCAGGCGATTTGCGAGGGCTTTCGCTAGCATCTTATACACCACCGTCAGCAAAGTTATTGGTCTATAGTTTCTGATGTCCATCTTGTCTCCCTTTTTAAACAAGAGGGTGAGGACACCCTGTCCCACTAGCTCGGCCATCTGCCCGGTCTCCCACACCTGATTGTAGAAATCGATAAGGTCTGAGGCCAAATGGGTCCAGAGGGTCTCCCAAAACTCTTCGGGGAACCCATCTATTCCGGGTGTCTTCTCTTCCTCTATCTACATCATCGCCGTCCAGATTTCTTCCTTGGACAGGGGACGATCCAGGTCCGTTTTCTGCTGGTCCGTCAGGGTCTTTTCAAGGGGCCTCAGGAATTCTTTGATTTCTTTCTCCTTGATTTCTTCCTCCCTTTGTGCGCATCGAGAAGTGAACAAGTCTTTAAAGAAGGATCTTGCTATCTGCACACATTGGGGGGTGGAGGTCACAATGTCCTGATGACCGGTTTGTGGATCATAAAGTGCTTCTATGGTAGACCTATGCACACGTACTCGGGCCATACTAAAGAATCTTTTGTCCATGGTCCCCTCTGTTTGGTGTCGCGCCAGTCGCCCTCGTATGCGTGCACCCTCCCATCGTTGTGTGACAAATTTCTGAAGTTGTTCTTTCAAGGTCTGTACACTTGGGTCCCCTTGCTGTGTCTGCTGAGATTCATCGTGTGGGTTGTGTGAGTCGTGGAACTGATCTTGGTTTTCGAGTTACTGCAATTGCTGGTGAATTCACATTTCTTGCTGGTGTTTTTTGGCTGCTACCAGTTTGAAATATTCCTGACATTTCCTACCCAGATAGAAGAGTCCATTATTAAACCAGTCGATTTCGTCCTGAATATGTTGTTTTTGTGTGCGCCAATACGTCCAACAATCTGTGATATACCTTTGGAAAGCTTGATGTTGGAGGATGGAAGTGTTGAGTTTGTAAAATCCAGGGCCATGATCTGGTTTCTTACGGAAAGAGAAAACAGTTGTACACATTTTGTGATCCAGGCCTGGGTAGGGGCTGGCGGGTAAGATTGCTGCGAGGAGCAGTGAGCTTCGAGGTCAGTATTAAGTCAATCCTAGATCTCGTCTGGTGCTCCGTCCCCGTTTTACGTAGGCATGAGAAGTATCGTGTGTCTGGGTTGAGTCTTCAGAAGGTGTCAAACACGTTTAGGAATAGACAGAGTTCACTGATCATCCGCTCATCCTCCTCCACATACCACGGGGCCGGGGAGGGTGTTCGCCATCTATCCATCCATCGGTCCGGGGCTGCATTGCAGTCGCCTGCAATAATAATCGGGACCCCGTTCGGGATGTGCAGTTTGATATTTTCAAAGAAATTTTTCCTTTCGTTCACAACATTGAGGGCGTAGATGCATAGTATGCACACGATTTCAAGTTCCAGGGTGACCAGTATTGACACCCATCAACCTTCTTCCTGATCCATTGCCCAGTACACCGGAGCTGCCCGGGACTCGGGGGGGATCCAAATGGCCACCCCTGCACTTCCAGGTTTGGGGGCGTGGGCCCTAAAGGCCTTATATGGCCAGACTAGTTTATGTATGCAGTTGTGTTCCGGAGTGTCCATCAAATGTGTTTCTTGGACACATACTACTCCCCACGAATAGATTGGAGCCTTGTTCCCAAAAAAAAAAAAAAAAAAAAAAAAACTATGTCTGGCCAATTTCTATCTCCCACCCCTCTCATCAGGTTCCAGATTGCGTTGTGTTTATCAGGCTTACTCGAGGCGAGACCATTGACATTCAATGACCGCAGGTCCAGGTCTGCTGCCCTCTTGCATTGGTTCCAGATGCGGTCTTTCCCATATACTGCTGTAACAGGATCCATTTACTTGTCTTTCTGGTCTCTCCTATCACCAGGCTGTTCACAACCCGGTCCATGATAACTGTTCCCATTCCCAATCTGCATCCCGCCGGCATCCTGAGAAGCGCACATAGGCTTTTTTGGACGTCACGCTCGGACGAAATGTCACTTTGCTTAATCCTAACCAGCTGCAGGTTTAGCATTTGACTGTAAGTGTGCCATCTCAGGCTGTTCTCCTTGGCGGGATCAAAGCATATGTATACGTCCCTCTGTGCAATCTTGGTGGGGCCTGTCACAATCGAGGCCATAGCTTGAGCCCCGGGCGGCAGGGCTTCTGCAATGCGGGATTCCAGCTGCATTCGCAGAATCCCCGCCGCTGCCTCCGTTGTGTAATTTTGTGGGCTAGCCCAGAACGACGACCAGCCTTGCAGCGTGATGTCCCCCTGTCTGGCATTGGCTGTTGGGGACAAGCCTACTTCCCATTTCTCATTTCTCTTTCGGACGGGGATGGACAGCGCAGCTTCCTGCGACATGGGACTGGTGTCACCCCCCATCTCAACTAGCTGTCTCAGCTTTCTTTTCCGCACCAAGTCGAGCAGCATGTCCTCCTCCGGATCCGGAGGTTCCGGTTCCGGTGCCGGGGGTGGGTGTTGGAGGACCAGATCCGGGGGGTTTTGGGGCACCGGTTCTTGTGTTCCCTGCTGGCTGGCTTCTTCCTTTGCTGCAGCTTGTGGTGCGTGGAACCGTGCTGACACGATTGTGTCCAGTCTGTGCCACGCGTCGGACCATTTTACCCCTGGTTGCAGCCCCTTCTCCAACACATTTTTGAGTGAGACGCTCGTGTCCAGTACGGGGAAGAGATTCAGGTAGGTCTTGTCCCAGAAGTCATCGGTCAGGGGGCCATGCTTTGCTTTGAGATTGGCCAACAGCCAGTCCGCTATGGCAACCAGCTTCTGTTCCATGGGTAGATCCAACGGAGGTGCCCCCTCCTCCACCCATTCCTGGCCCCGCTCCGGATCCAGTCCCTCCGGTGACCTACTAGCGTTATCCGGAAGGGGGTCCACATCCATGGGATCCAGTCCGAAGGCTGCTTGAGGGGGGTCCGTATCCCCTGTTTCCAACCGGGCCGCAGTTGCAGTCCCCTCCAGAATTTCTGTTTCTCCGCAACACTTCAGCCTAGGAATGTTGCTTGTTGCGTCCGATTGAGGAGATTGAGCCGATGCCTCCCCCGCACATTTGCTTGTGTTTTGTGTGATCTGGGTTCCCTTCAGTTCCATGGTGGCTGCAGCTCGGGTTCCTTCCTGTTCTGCAATCGCTGCAGCTCCCTTCTCATCCTGGATGTAACTCGCGGCAGCAGGGCCCGGGGTGGCTGCCGGTTCTGTCTGCAGTTTTTGGACCCGGATTTCCTTCACGGCAGCCGGTTCTGTCTGCAGTTTTTGGACCCAGATTTCCTTCCCGCCCTTCTTCCCTGCCATTTTCCATTCTGAGCTCACGTGGCCCTCCTGCGGGGCTTGTTTGTTCTGTACTTTCTCCTCCACCAGAGGCGGGGGAGTCCATGCGTTGGAGGGGCGTGTTCCCCAGTCCGGCTCCCCGGATCTTTCCCAGACCCAGCCTATTGAGGAGCCTTCTTTCGTGCGGTCTTCAATGTAAACCCAACCTTCGTGCCCTGGGTCCACTGCCCTCCAATGGGTGACTTTTATTGGGTCCCGCAACAATCGCCCTGTTGCTCGTGCTCTTCTCTGCATATAAAGCGGGCATGTGTACTCAGTGCTTAGATGGCCATAAGCTCTGCATTTATGGCACCAAGGCCTCAGTTTATGTGCAGTATGAATCATGTATTCCTTTCCACCTATCCGATACGGGATCAGATCATCGAGGGAGAAAGGTTGGCCCTGAGGGTAATCCAGGGCCAGCATCAGGTAATCATCCCTCTTAGCCACGAAGGAGGGAAGGGGGTCGATGAAAGCAACAATGTCATACAGCAAGCCGAAGTCATACACAAATGCTGCCTGGACTTCGACAGGGATATGACGAAACTCCACCCAGAAGAAATCCTGCATCAACTGTGCCCTTCTCTCCTCCGGTCCCATCCTGCGCAGCGGCATCCAGGGGTGGATCCTGACCTCCGATCGTTCGCAGCGGAGGCGCTGCAACCCATCTATCACTTTCTTGTCTGATTCGTGCATGCATAAGACCGTAACCGTGGTGTTAGAGACGGGTTGTACCAAAAATTGATCCCGGGCCATTTCCGCACAGTTTTTTAGAACTTCAAGCCGGCGGCCAATCCACTTGACCTTGTCGTTGACTGACTTGAAGGCGGCGGCGGCATGAAACACCCAATTGCTGGCGTGTTTCGTGTATACCTCGTCCCTGCAGGCTATCCCATTCTGGGGATAAGCTTTGACCATAACCTGCTTGCCCCCTTGTGACACCACCCTTGTTTCCGACAGCAGGAGGAATTTGGCCATGAAGAAGGCCCTCGCAGATGGTAGCCCTTCCAGGGGGATCTCAAGTTTCCCGGTCCGGGGACTACCCTGGCCCCGCTGGATGGTAAGGGCTCTACCCTGGTGCGGGGCTCTGAGCTTGTCTGCCCAGGTGATCTGTGGTGGACCATCGTTCATCTCATGACCGGAGGAGGGGGGTTTCACGTGGTGTTCTAGCTGCTTCTCCTCCTCCGTTAGAACCCCCATATCTTCAGAGATTTCGTTTTGTGGGGGAGGGGGGGTTCTGGGGTAGTGTTCTGTTGGGACCATCATTTATATCGAAGGCGTTCATCTGCCAGCTGTCTCATTGCCCCACTATAGAACAGCATCGAGTCCAGCCGTTTGTGGGCCCGTTGCAGCCTGCTGACCAGCCTCATGGTGATGTGTGCTTTAATGTTTTTGCGGTTTATTGTGCTTTATTTTCTTTTATTTTAATTGTTGTACTTGATATGCTTTTATCACGTTTTTAGTTGCTTGTTTTTTAATATTTCAGTTTATTTTCTTTCGTACTGATCCAGCAACCCCAAGGACTGGTTGGGCACGATATCCCTCCGTTTCTTCCTCCCCTCCGTTCCTCTCTCTTCTTCTGTCCTGTGTAGGTCAGTACTATCCTAAACCACTTTGGCCGTGAAGCCCTCCCCCAAAATCATGATCCCGAGACTGTTTGACGCTGTCCTTTCCTTCAATCTTCCTCCCACCCACCTGCTCTGTCTTCCCTTCTCCCTCGTGTCTTCCCAGTACCCCCACTGATTGGGGTATCTCCTTCAATCTTGACGCTGTCTCCTTCCAACCTTCCCAGTTTAAACTCCACCTGCTGCAACATCTCTGCCCTTCACCCTCCCCCAGTCATCGTACTTTGGCAGCTTCCTGTAACGCGTGATTGACTTCCTCTTTCAATCTCGCCCGCAAGCGTCCCCCTGGATCGGCTTGTTACCTGTTTTTCTTCTTCCTCCCTCCCCTACCCCTATACGCCCCTGATCACGGCCCTTTTCACTCGTATGTCACCCTCGATCAACTGTTCGTTTCCTTTTTTCTTTCAGTACATACTTCTCTTTTACCCCCTTGCCCCTATTTGTCCCTTGCCTTGTTCGCCGCCGCCTTCTCTATCACCCACTCACTCTATTCCCCCTCGTCCACCTCCCTCTTTCCGCTGCTCCAAACCCCTCTTCGCCCTTTCAACCCCGTTACCCAAATTCTCGCACGAAATCCGAGTTCACCTCTGTTTTTCGCTGTCCCGTCCTTGCCGTCCGGGATCCCGTAATCCCCAGTTCCACTTCTCCCTCCGCCTCTCTTTCCTCCACCCTTTCCAACTCAGTCTTACTTTGAGTAGCTAGCGATGTCTTTTCCCCAAACCGATTTCGCCACCGTTTTTCCGTTGTCCCGTCCTTATCACCCGAAATCCCGTAATCTCTCCACTTCTCCTCCCTCCTCCCCGCCGCTTCTCTATCCTCCACCCTTTCTGTCTCAAACTTTTCCGGAAGTTTTTCCACTTACCTCGATTGCCTATGTCGTGCGTTAGTTCTCTGTCTCATCGATGACGACCACAGAAGCCCAATCTCTCATCTCCCCGCCGAAGCTTCGTGGTGTCCTCGCGTCGCCCTCACATCTGGCGATTGACGATGTCGTCAGTGCACGTTTTGCCCACTGTTGTCGTTCGCGGAACAAAACCCGATTTCAACTCCGTTTTTCGTTGTCCCGCCTTTGTCGTCCAGAATCCCGTAATCCCCAGTTCCACTTCTCCCCCCGCCTCTCTTCCCTCCACCCTTTCTATCTCTATCTGACTTTGAGTAAGTAGCGATGTCTTTCCCCCAAAACCGATTTTGCCTCCAATTTTCCACTGTCTCGGTTCGGGAAAGGCTCTCTGATGCCTATCTATGTATGAAGGCGTCAGTTATGCTATTTCACTGACGTCCTCGCCGTCCGAAATCCCATAATCCCTGCGATGTCGTCGGCGCACGTTTGGCCACTGTTGTTGCACACCTAAGTCCTTACGTGGATCGTCTGTACCTGTGTGTGGTCTGTGCTCCGTTTCCGAGCTCACACACGTACGATCCGCCCCCCAACGGAACCCACTGTACCCCACCGAGCGTTGTGACGCGATGTCACACCCGCGCCTTTCTCCTTGGCTATGGTGTCACTATACCTGCTCCGATGATGCCACCGCGTCACACTCCATGCCTGTACTTGGTTCGGTGTTGTTCAATGGGCTGCGCTAATACCCCGCAGTTGCGCCCTGCGGCAGATAGCGCTACCGGCGTGTCATCTCTCTCCACACTCCAACAACATGCTAGAGCACTGTTGATCAATTGGCGAAGAGGAAGAAGGCTCGATGAGTGCAAAAGAAAGCTGTGGCAGCCAACTGATCTCCAAAACGCGGACCACACAAGAAGAGGAGATATGTGCAAGAGGACGACGAATCGAGTAGCAGCAGCTCTTCGCCTTCCACGTCTTCGTCCCGATTGGAGTCGACATCGTCGTCAACTGTCCCGATCGGGGTCGACCCGTGTGTGTGTGTGTGTGTGTGTGTGTGTGTGTGTGTGTGTGTGTGTGTG